CTGGAATTTTGGAATGTTGGAATGGAAGGAGTGTGCCCAGAGCCCCAAGGTAATGGGCTCTCATTTAGAAAAGCTAAAACAAAGTCTACAGTAAAAATTATTATTAGCAAAATGTACAATCTACAAACCCAAATAATGCTCATGAACCAGGATAACTTCACAGACACCAGACTCCTCAGAATCCAGGGGCAGAATTCCTGAAAAACAAAGGAACACAGACCTTGAATTTCACACAGGCAATCATTCCAACCAAAGCATTCTCCCAAGGAATTCCCTGCTCCTGTTTGTGTTCAGTCCCCTCTTGGCAGGTTCAGGACAGGTAGGAGATCTTGGCCAGGTTCCAACCCAGGGCACAAGGAAGTTCCAGAGGTACATTTTGGGATTGAGGGAGAAAGAATGGGGACACCACAGAGTGCTGTCTGGTACTGGCAGGTGTCATTTCTGTCTGGTGATGTCTGAGCTCATTCCACACTCTGAGTGCTCCCCTTCCACCCCAGGCCATGGATCACAGAGCAGGGATGAGGCACAGAGCAGCCACCCCACAGCCTCTCCTCTCCTCTCCCATCCCAATTCCTGACCCTGTGCTTTGCAAAGGCAGCACCAAAGGCACAGGAAGAAGCAGAGGATGAACACACAAGAATGTGGAAGTGTCAAAAAGCAGGAAAAAGAAAGAGGAAGTGCATGAAAAACAAACTACCCAGGGAAGGCAGAGAAAGCAAAAGCAGAGAAGGCAGAAAAAACTCTTCCATCCTGGTTATAACTGAGCTTTTTACCTTCACTGGCCACAGAACTCTGCTGAACAGGAGGTTCTGGCACCTGCTCCATCTCCTGAATTAACATCCCCTCTATCACAGGAAAAACCCTTCTTTTCTTCCCTCTCCCCCACAAATCTCACACTCCATTTAGACCAAAGGGTTTTGCCTGGCAAATTTGGCTGTTGTGTCCAGTCTTTCCCAGTTCCCATTGGAAATGTGCTGTCCCCAGGGAATACCCAGTCTCTAGGAGCTGCCTGGAGCAGTTTTGTGCCATGAGGGAACAGTGCAAGAAGGACAATGCCCAAACACACTCTGCCCCATCACTCTCCACTCTGTCCTCCTCTAATCCTTTCATCCAGCACACAAAATATAAACATGAGGGACAGAATGGCTCGAAGAAATAACTCCTCTCTCCTCAGGCATCACTCACAATTTGGTGGCTAACACAACATCATATTTCAAATCCTAAGGGAGCATTCTTAGAACAGAATTCCCATTTATAAGTTTATTCCTGTGACAGCAGTTTAATTTTGAAAATACATGGTCAATTTAGCCTTACCAATTATTCTAACCCCAGCCATTCATTATAAAAAGATGACTGTTGGTGTCAGTTGAGGCAAACAGGCATTAACTTACCCACCACTTCATCATCTGGCTGGAAAAAGGTCACCTTGCTTCCAACTCATCGTGGAGAGGTGAAAAGGAGGGAAAAAGGGAAAAGATAAATATTTATAGCAGGAATGGGATGTGCATTTGGAAGCCCTGGTTATCACCAGCTCACAAAACTAAAGATACACATTTCTTGTGAAAAAAAACCCATAATTCTGTTGATTACACACATGCCAAGCCCAAATGGAGGCACAAGGAGCTGCATGCAGGACACACAGGTGGAGTGAGAGTCAGGCTGGACTCTGCCCCTCAGGGGAGTGCCACCAGCACTGGGAGCAGCCAAGGAGCTCCTGAGTGCCCCACGCAGAGAGCTCTGTGTCCTGGGGGATCCCTGCTCCCTCCCTCCCTCCCTGGGCACTCACCTTCCAGCACAACTCCTGAAATTTCTCGCCCCACAGGCACAAGTTCCTTCTCCAGCTTGACTTCTGACAGGAGCTAAATGGAAACAATGCTGGCAGCATTCTTGCTAAAGCTCTGTGTTTATAAATGTATTATCATCTCACTGTGTTGCATCAGCACAAAAAGCTGGGGCTTTTTATCCAGGGGAAGGCAGTGCACACATCCCTCAGTCAGCGTTAAACCAAGGCACTGAATTCTGTATTTAAATTTAGAAACATATTAAGAAATAAAAGCAGGGAGTTACTAGCAGCCCAGCCAACCTTGGCTTAGAGTGCAGATGAAGATAAAAGGGATTTATTGCAAGAGATCCCACAGCTGACAGCTGATCTGTCTCCATGAATCAGGAATCAGATCCCAGTGTGCAAGAAGCCCAGCCCAGCCCTGTGCCTGTGGAAACCTTCCCAGGGGATCCCCCTGATGGGCAGAGCTCTAAAAAGTCCTGTGCCCACTGCCAGCAGCCAAGCCTGTGCCAGGCCTGTGCCAGGCACCAGCCCAGGGCCAGGCAAGCACAGACACCCCCAGCCCTGCACAACACCCAGCAAATACCTCTGTGTCCAGCTGGCTCAGAGCACAGGCTCTGACCTGCACCTTCACATCGTGGGCTCTGCTGGCAGCCAGGTTCTCCTAGGACAGATCCACAGGGGCTGGGTTACACCCTGCCTGTGCCCCAGGAGCTCCTGAAGGCACTTCTCCACTTCTTGGGTTGTTTTGTGGGGAGAGCAGGCAGCTTTTGTCAGTGAAAAGGGGGTTTACAACATCATTTTGAGTGCATTACTATTATTATTATTATTATTATTATTATTATGATGTTACCATATTATGATGATCTTATTACTGCAAACTGACCACCAGACCTTACTGAACCTCACCAGCCACTGACATTATTTTTCTGTTGAGGTTTTTATTTTCATTTATCTGAGGCACAAATCCTGACAGACCCACTGAAGTCAACACTGAAGTCCAAATGATGTCAAAGGAAAAAGCCCAGTAAGAACTGGAGCTCTCACCCCAAACCTGATAAGATTCCTCAAGCTCCATTTCTACTTTTTCAGGGACTAGAAAATTCAGCCAGGAAATGTGGACCCAGGGTTTATTTTTCATAAATAAAATAAAAAAAAATAAAAGCTTGTTTGTAAGGTCTGGCCACCAAAATTGCAGGGCAGTGGTCTTGGAAGTTATTACTATTATTATTATTATTACTATTATTATTAATAATAATAATAATAATACTATTATTATTATTACCACCACCACCATAGTATCATTATTATCATTATTGTTATCATTATCATCATTGTTATTATTAATTTACTTTTATTATTATTATTAGCATTAGGATTAGCATTATCATTTTGCCTGATGACAAAATGCACCTCCCCTCCCTTCCTCCCCTGCCTGTGTGTGCAAGGATCCTTCCCCCAGCCTGCACGAGATTTCTGTGCCTCAGTTTCCCCCTGGCACTCAGCCACACTCTCCTGATGGGCAGAGCAGTTCTGAAGGGAACTCACCCTTTCCTGGAACACAAATGTCATTTCCTCTCCAGAAGAACTCTGCTGAGCATACAGGGCCTTCATAGTGACCTGAAAAACACAGCGACCAAACTGTGACATCTGCAGGGCCTGTGGGCAAACCCGATTAAATTAAATTAAATTAAATTAAATTAAACCATTCTGTAAGGAACACAGCCACTGTGTGCAGGCAATTTGAGTCTTTGTGATACAGAAGCTCTGATCCAGACCAGCAGGTTTAGATGCCCACAGCAGAGAAAATCCACAGGACTGAGGATCCCAGAATCCCAGACTGGTTTGGGTTTGGAGGGACCCCAAATCCCACCCAGTGCCACCCTGCCATGGCAGGGACACCTTCCCCTGTGCCAGGCTGCTCCAGCCCCAGTGCCCAGCCTGGCCTTGGGCACTGCCAGGGATCCAGGGGCAGCCCCAGCTGCTCTGGGCACCCTGTGCCAGCCCTGCCCACCCTGCCAGGGAACAATTCCTCATGGCCAAGATCCCATCCATTGCTGCCCTCTGGCACTGGCAGCCATTCCCTGGGTGCTGTCCCTGCAGGCCTTGTCCCCAGTCCCTCTGCAGCTCTCCTGGAGCCCCTCAGGCAGCGATGCAGCACAGCAGAACCGGCCCTGCAGGATTTATTTATTGTGCCCGGGCAGTGCAGGGCTCTTTGCCACTGCACAGGGAACACGGGGAGCTCCCGTGCGGGAACACAGCGAAACTCACACTTTGGCTTCACCAAAAATCACCGCTCGGCCTTCCCCTCTCCTCTCCCGGGCCGTCCTCAACCGACGCGAGCCTTTAGAAAGGGAAAAAAACAAACAAACAAAAAAACCCAAAAAAACAAAACAAAACAAAAAAAAAAACCACCAAAAAACCCAACAGTAAAACTGAGTTAACCAGGAAAAAGGAAAGGAGGGGGTAAAGAGGCAGGAAATCACGGGACCATTAGTGCAGCTCTCACCCCTGAGGGACCACCCGAGGCCTCGGCCCGCACCCAGCGGCTGCAGCAGCCCCGGCCCGGCCCTCGGGGGCTCTGAGCGAACCCGGCCCGCAGCCAGCGGCTGCAGCAGCCCCGGCCCGGCCCTCAGCAGCTCCGCGGAGCTCCCGACGCGCCCGCGGTTGCCATGACACCCCTTCACTTCCGCCTCGCCCCCAGGCACCGCCCCTAGCCCTGCAGCCAATCACAGCCTCCGGTGAGCGCTCGCGATTGGTCGAAGTGGCCGCCATTCATCAATCCGGCCATTCAATCCAGCCGAGGCGGGATTGGCCCGCGCGGGTGTCACTCATTCAATGAGGGGATCGGGGAGGCTGCGGCGCCCGGCGCGGTCTCTGGGGCATCGCGGGGAGAGGGAGGTGACGCGGCCGGCGGCTGCCTCACGAGTTAACCCCGTACGCACAGCGCGGGCCCTCACCGCTCCCCGAGCGCTGGCCCCTCAGCCCGGCACGGCCGTGATTGGTCAGGGAGGCGAGGCCCTGCCGCTGTCCCGGCCTCTGATTGGTGCAGCGCCCCGCTCGTCACGCGGGGGGAGGGCGGAGGCCGCGCGTCAGAGCGGGCCTGTCAGAGCCCTGATTGGCCGAAGGGGGCGGGGCTCCGCCGCTTTCCCGGCCTCTGATTGGTGACACGCCCTGTCCGTCTGGCGGGGGCCGCGGCCGCGCGTCAGTACGGCGGCCGCGAGGGGCTCCTCCCCCCTCCCCTCAGACGGGGCGAGGGCGGCGATGGCGCGTCCGGCGGAGGCGGCTGCGGGCGCCGCTCCGGCCGCTCCGGCCCCTCGGTGCCCTGCCCGCGGCCGCGGCTGCGAGTAGGGCCCGCACAGACATGAGGTACGGCCCGGGGGCGGCAGCGGGGGGCGCGGGCGGCGGCGGTTCAGCCCAGGCCGGCGGGGGGCAGCGCCGCCTCAGCCCCTCACGGTGCCCGGGCCGCGTCCCGCTCCTGGCCGCCCGCGGTGGTGCCGCGGCCCCGGCTGCCCTGCGCCCTTCCCGGGCGGTGCGGCGGGGCATCCTGGCTGGAATCACCTTGGTGCCGCTGCCTCCGGCCTCCCGGGCGGGAGCAGTGCCGTTCCCCGGAGCGCAGCCCTGGGAGCGCCGTCCCTTCGGGCTCGGCGGAGGGCACCGGGCGGCGAGGGAGAGCTGCGGGGGTGCCGGGGGAAGGGAGGCGGTCCGTGCCCCCGTGTGTGCCCCTGCCTCGGCTGTGGATGGTGTTCCCTGTGGGTGTCTTTTGTTCTGCTTTATTTGGGGTGAAATGTGGGGTTTGCCTGTGGAAAACGGGATTTTCTGTGAGTTCTGGCTTTCTCTGCCGCATGAGGGGAAAGCACTTCCATGGCTCGTGAGAGAGTATTGTTTAAGAAATAATTCCTGTTAGCATTCCAGGTGGGATAATGTCAAAACAAGAAACACTCTGTCCTCCTCTGCCTCTCCCCACTGCCCTGTTCCAAAGTACTTTTTGTTTGGAGCTTATATGGCAATAGATATTTAAGGCACTAACTGTGGATATGAACTGAATAGATATCGGAGTCAAGGTCCGAATGGATGCGTTTCTTAAATCAAAAATCCAAGCGGTATTTTGGGTGTTGGTGGCTCTGAGAGTGTTATTTCACACTTCCTTTCCTTCTTTCTTTTACCTTTTGTTGTAGCCACCTGTAACTTCCCTTGCTGGGTATGACCTGGTGATGTTCTCACCCAGGAACATCCTTAGGACCCAGGGAGGAGCTGGAGCTGTGCCAGAGGGATTTAGGGTGGATTTTAGGGAAAGGCTCTTCCCCAGAGGTGCTGGCACTGCCCAGGGAATGGGCACGGCCCCGAGGCTGCCAGAGCTCCAGGAGCCTTTGGCCAGCGCTGCCAGGGGTGCCCAGGCTGGGCCTGGGGGGTCTGGGCAGGGCAGGGCTGGCACTGGGGGGTCCCTGGGGGTGCCTCCAGCCCAGGACATTCCGTGCTCCTGTGATAGTTCATACCAGTGAATTGCTACCAAATTCTCCTCTCTCTGTTGGAATTTTCCCCCATGCCCAGCTGCAGCACGGGCACACGGAGCCAGGATGTGAGCCCGTGGGTCACACCCGCCTGTGGCTGTGGGCAGGTGTCACAGGGAGAGAAACCAGCTGCACTTTCTGTTCCCTCAGAGCTCAGGGCTCTAAATCCAGCAGGCTCAGACAGCCCGGGCTGTGCTCAGCCCTGGGGTGCCCTGCCTGCTCCTGGCAGGGCTGTGCTCAGCCCTGGGGTGCCCTGCCTGCTCCTAGCAGCCTGGCAGGGCTGTGCTCAGCCCTGGGGTGCCCTGGCAGCCTGGCAGGGCTGTGCAGGGGTTGTGTTTCCTGCAGATGAGTTTCTGAACAGTTTCTGCAGTGTCTGGGGCTCAGCCTCACCAGAGCAGAGTGGGCTGCACCCTGCCCTTGCTGCTTCACACACCACACTCCATTCTTTCAGCTCCTGTGTTCCCCCCAGTGCCTTTCATTCCACATAAGGTCCTCTGCAGAGTGGCTGTGTTTGCTTGTGGATTTTCCATGATAAAGTAAGAATTTTCCTAGATAAAGTGAGGATTGGGGTCTCAGAGCCATGAGCTGCACTGCCTCAGTGCCTGTTCCCTCTCTCGCTGCTGTTTGGTGGCCTTTCCTTAATGCCAGGGCTGTGCTCAGCCCTGGGGTGCCCTGGCAGCCTGGCAGGGCTGTGCTCAGCCCTGGGGGGCCCTGCCTGCTCCTGGCAGCCTGGCAGGGGTTGTGTTTCCTGCAGATGAGTTTCTGAACAGTTTCTGCAGTGTCTGGGGCTCAGCCTCACCAGAGCAGAGTGGGCTGCACCCTGCCCTTGCTGCTTCACACACCACACTCCATTCTTTCAGCTCCTGTGTTCCCCCCAGTGCCTTTCATTCCACATAAGGTCCTCTGCAGAGTGGCTGTGTTTGCTTGAGGATTTTCCATGATAAAGTAAGAATTTTCCTAGATAAAGTGAGGATTGGGGTCTCAGAGCCATGAGCTGCACTGCCTCAGTGCCTGTTCCCTCTCTCGCTGCTGTTTGGTGGCCTTTCCTTAATGCCTCTAATCCTGCAATTAGGATAGATTTGGATTCAGGAAGGAATGTGAATCTAGCAGTGAAATGTTTCTGAATTGTGACGTTGGAGAGCCTTTTATGGCCTGTCTTTGTACTGTAATCAGGGATTGTAATTTTAGCTTTTAGGAGGATAACACCAGGGAAAAGAGGAATAAAGGAAAAAAGTTAAGGAAAATACAAGCAGTGGGTTGAGGAACGGGGAGATCAGTGGGGTGGAAGTTTTCTGTAAGAAACTCTTCCCTGGGAGGGTGGGGCTGCCCCTGGATCCCTGGCAGTGCCCAAGGCCAGGCTGGGCACTGGGGCTGGAGCAGCCTGGCACAGGGGAAGGTGTCCCTGCCATGGCAGGGTGGCTCTGGGTGGGCTCTGAGGCCCCTCCCAACCCCAGCCAGCTGGAATTCTGTGATCAGCAGTCCCAGCCACAAACCTTCCCCTGTGCTGTGAGTAGCAGGGCAGGATGAGCCATCAGCAGGTGGTTTGGGGTGGCTCAGAGCTGTCCTGCTTGGAACCCAAGAGGTGTGAGGGGTTTTGGTTTCTTTTTGCCAAAGGCTGCCTCAGCTGCTGCTGTGAGCTGGCTTTGCTCGTTGCTCTCGTGTTGGACACAGCTGCTGAACTTGGGATGGCCCCTCCACAGCAACTTGGTTTTGTTTTTACTTGTTGAGCATGAAATTGGGGGGGGTGGTGGACAATCACAAACGGGTGAGAGCTGCTGATGAATGACTCTGCACAGGAAACCTCAGTGAGAGGTGCTGAAACCTCTGTGGGATCTGCGGCACAGGGAGTGAGCCTCCTTTAAAAGTGCACTTTGTAGAATTCACAAAGAATGTACTCCATTGCACTGGTTATTTTTGGCTGGCACTGTCTCTGTAGGGTTTTAATTGCAGGTGGAAGGGTTTAGAGCAGTATTTGCCAGGCCCTCATCCAACAAACACAAACTGGGAGGTTTGGGAGGGCACCAGTGCAGGTGTCTGCTGCATCCACCTGTCTGGAATGAATCTCTGGAGCTCTGTGTGTGGCAGTGCTCACGTTCCTGACAGAGCAATTCCAGCTCTAGCTGCAGGAAAGCACTAATTACTGATAGTAATTAGAAACTAATCTCTCCTGTGTGAACAGGGAACATTGTCTGTCCCCTCCAGAGGATCAGCTTCTTGACCAGAATAGAACATTTCTATTTAATAGGAATTAAATAATTTTGAGTGGGGAGGAGTGAAGAGAGGTATCCTTGGGCATTCTCAGGAAGAAAGATTACTCTGGTTTTGATGCAAAAGGTGCATTTTGGCAGCATTCCCTTCATTGCAATCAGTGAAAACACAGAAAACTTGACTGACATAGTGCATCCATGGTTTGGTTTTCTCTTATCAAACTTGCTTGTGTTGGATATTATATTTTGCTGTTTCATGTGTTGTTTTTAAGGGTAATCAAATTAATTAGTGTCCAAATGGGAATCTTTTCTCTGTGAACTCTGCTTTTCAGCAAGTTGTGTGGTAAAATGTGAGTCTGGAATTGTGAAATAATGACGAGTGTCTGAAACCCCAGTGTCTGCTGTTTCTGTTCAGCAGCAGTTTCCATCCCCTTTCCCTGCATTGTCCCTCATGGCTGTGTGCCCACAGTTGTGAGAGCTGACCTCTCCATCCTGGGAGTTTGTAAGAGCAAGGGTTTTTTTATGGGATGGCAATCCTGGAAAATCAAGGGCCTGCTGGTTTATTCAATGTTACAGGTAAATATATTGCTACTAATAGTGTGGATTAGCAAATCCTAATGACACTATTAAAATCATTCCACTGCAGACACATTGTCTCAAAAGTTCAGGTTTTCCTTTGTGTTTTGGTCCTTCAGATTTCCATGGGGATCTCTCCCTCAGTGTCTTTGCAGGACCCAGCCCTGGGCATGACTAATGGCTGGAAATGACTGCCCAGGGTTTAGCTGTGCATCACCTCAAGGTGCAGGTTCACGTGCTCCACAGAGATGCACAGTTTGTAGGAAATAGTTATTAATACAAAATAATACAAAATACACAGAACAGCTGGGTTCAAACCTGTGATTCCTGAAGGAGCCATGGAGCCACCTGGAATGGCTGGCACCTCTCTGCAGGACTCGGAATGAACCTCCTCTGGAGCACGTGGGATTCTGTGCTTCCATACAGAACTGGAAATATTTACTGCATTTAAATATTCCTGTGAAACAATCCAAACTACCAGAGGGCAGGGTTAGGTGGGATCTTGGCAATGAGGAATTGTTCCCTGGCAGGGTGGGCTGGGGTGGAATTCCCAGAGCAGCTGGGGCTGCCCCTGGATCCCTGGCAGTGCCCAAGGCCAGGCTGGACACTGGGGCTGGAGCAGCCTGGCACAGGGGAAGGTGTCCCTGCCCTGGCAGGGTGGGGATGAAAGGAGCTTTGAGCTCCCTCCCAACCCAACCCACCCTGTGTTAAATCACACCTGCTGGGAGTGGCACTCCAGGTTTCCCAGCCTCCCTCTGGGACCCTGCAGATCCCAGAGCTGCTTTGGGGAAAAAAGAACTTTTAGTCTTTTCTGACAGCACCTCTAGGTCTGTGTTTGAGCCCTTCGAAGCAGTGTAAGGCAGAAATGTTTAAATGTTGCTGGTTTTGTGTTTGCAAAAGAGCCCCCACCCATCTTGGGGGAAGGAGAAGAGGCCTCTCTTGTTTCCAGCCTGATGCTCCTCCTGCCAAGCACACACGGACTTTTTGTTCCTTGCCCTCCCAGCTGAACTGTGGAGATGCAACCTTGGCTGCTGGGCAGGGAATTCAGCTGTGCCTGAAGTGCCTCAGCTAGCTG